GTATTACACCAACACAGCAAATATCTTGATGGAATGAATTGGTCAGCCCAAGGTAATGTATTGAATCAATATTTGAGGAACACTTAAAAATAAGGTATGAATCGCATAAAATGCAGATATCAAAATCAAACATTGTAACTCGAGCATAAAAATGTGCATATTTGTTTTAAAAGGCGATTGTTCCTTGAATGTTCAATGAAATAGTGCCATTGCCTTTTACAAGGAAGACCATTATAAAGAAATACACTTGACTTTCTTCATTGCCACCTGGTACTTAGTACAGATATCCCATATTTTCTTGATAAATTCATACCTGAAAGCGGAATACATACAGGTGTAAAAAACTTTAATGGTGATATAAGTGCTTTATATTCCAAAGAGTTGCTTTTCCCCACAATTTACTAATAGAATAACCTGGTATTAAAATCTCTAAAAAAACCTTTGTCACTCAGGGAAATTTATAGCAGTACGGTTTTCAACAAGCTATATTTGCTTAATTTTACTTGCTGGGGATTGTTATAATACTCGTGTTTTAAAGAATAATCTTGATAGTCAGTTGCAACACAAATTCACAATACAACAAGAATTGATAAATCATTTCAATGACTTACATGCTTTGTTCTTGTGGCCGTCAAGCTCCATTCATGTCTTTTTTTATTAATGGCTTTCGGTCTTTATTGATTTATACGCGCAGTTAGAATAATACTGTATTTTCAAAAGGACGAAAATCAAAATACACTCCATCGTCGATCAACTAATACAAACAACAGTACATAAATGATAAATCACTGTAAAATCAGGGGGGGTTGAATTTTGTCGCCCACGGACATTCGAGCCATGGGTCAGTGGAAACTGCCATGAAAATAGGTCGATTGTGACGTCAAATCCGCCATGTTTTTGGCCACACACTTTCGTCGAGAGCACGATCTCCAGATATATAAGTATAGCTCAGTGATCAACTCCCAGAGTCGGGAAATTTTGACATCCGCCATCTTGAAAGTTTGCGCGGTTTTGACATTGAAAGGCCTGGTAACAAGTATGGCG